AATATTTTTTATATAAACAAGTGAGTAACAGTAAATCATCACTGTTTTCAGTGAAGAAAGTATAAAGTTTCCTGGTAAGAAAATACTTTTTCAGAAAATTTTCACATTTTATAAAATCAATCTTATTTATGGAAGGTCAAATATATTAATAAATAACATTGGTATTACTTCTTAGTGCTCTTAATAATGTTATAAAAAATCACATAAACATAGCTTTGTAATTAATAGTAACTTTCCCTTTTACTTAGTAGTAATGTGAAGTTACAAGCAATGAAAATATGTTACCTTCCCTCATGACTGAACAAGAACCATAAAAAAAAAATAGAAGTGAGACCGTGCTGTGTTGTGTTCCCTATGTGCATGACTCTCAGGGTCACAGAAGGGCAGTACTGGATGCTGTCTTTAATTACAGCTTTGAAATTATGCTCATCATGGATTACTTTGCATTAATTTTTATTCTTAAAAATAGAAATGAAAATGTTTAACTGATTATTGAATTTTTTGAAGCCCCCTTAAATTTTTTGCCAGAGGTGAGGCCTTACTTGCCTCACTCTAATTCTGGCCCTGGCTGGGATGCTGGGGTTAGGAGGAAAGAGGAAAGTAGGGATGGTGGTCTAGAGAAGTAAATCCTTAACTACTATTAACAATCAGTCATAGTTCAAAAAAAGACAAATCAAAATATGGTTATATTATTAATAAATAATAATATAATAAATAAGAGATCAAATAGCTGAAATAGTTGAAAATGGCTGCCTCTAAAGAAATGAATGGAAAAGGGTGAAGGAGATGAGTCACTACTTTTATGATAAACTATCCACACAAATTTTCAACTTTTAATTTGATAAAGATAAAACGTAACTTTACAAAGTCTGAAACTCTCATGTCTGAAAACCTTACAAAGTCAAGAAGAAAAAAAAAGAACCAAAACATAACAAAAAAGAAAAACAAAGACCTTAGAAATTCTTTATGGATATCCCCAAGCAGCCTTAAAGGAACAGACTAATTTGTCATTTCATTAATGAAATAACAGGGAACTCTTATTTTTATGTGTATGTTTGAATTGAGAAAAAATATTTTTAAAAAAGAAATACTTTTTTGTGTGAACCTACCACAGCTGATATGCTTAAAATATTAGATTATAACTTTTTCATGTCTAATTGTCCTACTAGATTCTGACCACCTTGGGGACAGGGAAATAATTTTATTAATCTTTGCCACCAATACAAATTCCTAGAACTTGCTATCAAGTGTTCCCTAATAGCCAAGGAAGGAAGCAAGGAAAGAGAAAGGCATCTGTGCCTACCTTCTCTCTCTTAGCCTTAACTTGGTTATAATGGAACTAAACTAACTCTAAGGCTACAGGGGAAGGGTTATGGTATACATATAGTGAGGATATGAAAGCAGTAAAATGTTGCAAGGTATACAGAGCAGCAGAACAGAGGCTGTTTTAGAAAACCACTATATAATATGAATTCCCATATACAGTCTATATACTATGAAAGGAATTAATTTTGATGGAAAAAATTTAAAACTATACAAACTAAAATATGGCAACAGGAAAATATTATTGAGTTATAACACTGATTCCACTACAATGTATCAGATCAAAACCTTGAAGATTGATTCAAGCTATCCACCATATTACATGTGTATTTAAATGCCTGAGTCTATTAAGGGACTATCCACAGCACATATATGCTTGAAAGAAGTACCCAGACCAAAACTGTAATATGTAGCCTTCCATGTAATATGGCTTCCTTTAACTCTGCTTACAGCCTGCTAAATTTTTAGCATAAGCTTTTTTGCTTTCAATGAAAAAAAATAAACTTCAGGAAGCTGGTTGATGTAAGAAAAGGTTGGTTTTACTTGACACAGATGCAACAGGGCAATCAAAGGAAAGTAAGAGCCTGATGTGTTTATTCAACTATGAATACATCAGGAAAAAGTCAATGGATGATGTTAGCAATGATGAATTCATAGGTTTTCTTTATGGCCATGCCTTTACATGTTTGGAAAAAAGATAGGCAAACCCTGTTGTCCCCAGGGCATAGGGGCCAACTGTGGCTGGGTGACAGAAGAAAACATTTCTATTCTACAGAGCCACTTGAAAACCTCAGAACAACAGAGAACATCACACCAACCACTACCACCCACCACTGGCATGAAAAGAAAGTGAAAGTGTTAGCCTCTCAGTCATATCTGACTCTTTGCAACCCCATGGACTATAGCCTGCCAGGCTCTTCAGTCTGTGGAATTCTCCAGGCAAGAATACTGGAATGGGTTGCCATTCTCTTCTCCAGGGGATCTTCCCAACCCGGAGACTGAACCCACATCTCCTGCATTGCAGACAGATTCATTACCATCTGAGTCACCAGGGAAGCCCACTAGGATAGCAAACATCAAATAATAAGCAACAGCAGTACTGTTGGAAGAAAGACAAGAGCGCAAAGAGAGAGAAAGAAAATCTCCATGGCTCAATCTCACACACACAAAAGACTAAAGCTGAGTATGGAGCAAGGATACTGAGAAGAAAAAAAAAAAAAAACCTCCAGTAACATAACTTCCACATTAAGCACAAGGAAATACTACAGGAATTGAACTTGACAGTATATGAAGGGTAGCCGTAGAGATAAAAAAATAAACCCAAGTCAACACACTACTAGATGGACCAAATCTCTCGCTAACAGCCTAAGATGAGAAAAGGCATGCCCATTTTCAGATACTATTTATCTTAGTCCAACATATAATGCCTTGCTTTCAACCACACATACACAGAAAATGCAAGGGGAAAAGAAACTGTACTGTCAAAAGATAAAACAATCAGCGGAACCAGACTTGGATATAACCCAGCTACTGGAACTTCTAGAAAGAAAATTTTAAATTATTATGATTACTAAGTGATATGCTTTGGTAGAAAAAGAGGATAACACACATGATCAGTTGGAAACTTTATCAAAAGATCAGACACTATAATAACCAATGCAAATGTTAGGGAAAATAACCCAAGCAAATCACAATGACAGAAATAAAATGCAAAAATTTTTTGATGGGTTCATCAATAGACCTTACACAATTAAAAAAAATGAATCAGTAAACAGGTCAATAGATAAAAATTACCCAAACTGAAACACTAAAAAGAAAAAAAAAAAAAAGAGTATGGGGGAAGGTGAGGTGGGGAGACTAAAACAGGGCATCTAAGAACAAGAATTAACACCAAATGGTATAACATGTGTGAAACAAACACCAGAAGTAGAAGATAAAGGACAGGGCAGAGAATACCAATCAGGATGAATGTCAAAAATAAATAGATAAATAGATAAACACATAAACAAACGAACAAACCAGACTTAAGACACATCATGTTCAAACTGATAAGAACTAAAGACAAAGACAAAACCTTTAGGGTAACCAAAGAAAATCATACTCACATACCCATATAGAAACAGAGACAAAAACTATAATAAGACATCTCATCAGAAAATATGCAAGCCAAAGACAATAAAATGATGTCTTTAAACTGCTGAAAGAAAACAGTAAATCCAGAATTCTATACTCACCAAAAATTTATTTTCAAAAATGAAAAACAGAAGATTTTTTTGAAGGAAAAAAGCATGTAATAAATAATTACCAGTAGATCTGCAACATGAGACATTTCAAATGAAGTTGTTTAGGCAAAAGGAATGTGACACCAGACAGAAACCAGTAACTACATAAAGAAAGAGCAAGCACTAGAAATGGTAAAAACAAAGGTGAATACAAAAATTGTTTAAGTATTTAATTGCTTTAAAAAAGACTATTTAAAACAAAAATAGTAACACTATATTCTGTCTTTGTAACCTGATTAAAAGTAAAATATATGATAACATTAGAAACAAGAAGAGCACACAAAATATCAACATCAAGAATAAAAGGATTATCATTGCAGACCCCACAGACAACAATAAGGGACCACTACAAACATTTGTATATATATAAATTCATAATAGATAAAATGTACCAATTCCTCAAAAACACAAATACCAAAATAAACCAGTAACCAAAAAATCATATATCCAGTAAAGACATTTATTTGTAGCTAAAAATCTGTGAAACAAAAAAAAACTTTCTGTAAAAGACAGTCACGTGGGAGAAGGCTGGTACTGCCTAGGTTTCACTTATTTACTCTACAGCATAGAAATGCTACTCAAAAAATAAATGCTGAACCTATCTTGCTTCATTTTTACTCAGAGGCAAGCTATATTACACAATATTTTAAGAACTGACATCAAGAAAGCAACTACAAAGGCAAAATTATTTCTACACTCATACATTAGACCGCCCAGTTTTGCTGTTGTTTAGTTTTTAAGTCATGTCCCATTCTTTTGTGACCCCATGAGCTGTAGCCCAGCCAGTCTCTTCTGTCCATGGCATTTCCCAGGCAAGAGTACCAGCATGGGTTGCCATTTCCTTGACAGGGAATTGTCCCAACCCAGAGATGAAACCTATGTCTCCTGCAGTGCAGGTGGATTCTTTACCACTGAGCCACCAGAGAAGCCCAGACTGCCCAGTAAAAAATGTATATGATAACTCTGAGTGTGATATTCAGATTGCCTGATTAAGATACCTAAAATGTATTCAAAATATTTCTATATTAAAATTTATTTACTTCTTCAGAAAATAGAATTTCCTAAAAAGATTAATTTTCCAACCTGTCAAATGTGGGATATTTTAATGATTTCAGAATTTTTAAGTCATAAAATTATCTCCATTACTTACTAATTGAAATAAATAACAAGCATGTGAAAGGTAATAATGTCTTTGTCAAAATAAACCACTTTATAATTTTACTGAGTTAAATATTTTTTGTATTAATGAAAACAAAAATCTCAATTCTTTTCTTTTTGTTAACATGACAAAATTCCTAGGGATGTACACACACTGAATTGAAGTTTTAAAAATCACACCAACAATACTTTCAATTGTATAAATCTTTAAGAGGTAGGAAATACAACATAATTTACCTCAGACATAGGTTCTTGTTCCTTTGTGGGAGCTTCATTTTTTAATCTTGAAAACAAAATAAGTATTGAGTATTTAATTTTATGTTTATAATATAGAAACAAGAAACAGATTTTTTTGCATGCTTAAAATAATTTAAATGTAGATTCATATTAATGTACATTTATACTATAACAGTAAATTACCTCTATAGTAAATACTTTAAGGGAAAAATAAAATGCACAAGAATAAATAGTAAATTCAATATATGTTCTAAATAAATGAATACAGATAAATATTTCCTTCTCTAAAAACAAGAGCACTTAAGAAATGTTCTCCATGTTAAGTACAAATTTAAAAAAAGATTTAAGACATATAACACATTAGCTATGTAACAAAAAGACATTACTCTTTAAAAAATGAAAGCGAAAAAAAAACGAAAGCAAGTTTATGTGCCTAATATATATAACATGCATCAGTATTTACTACTAAAGGACTCAAAAAGTGAGAGAAAATACATATTTTATCTATTATAAAGTTCAAAATACTAATGTCATTTCAATATGTTACAACTAACTTATTTTAGAGGTGGTAAAATTACAGAAATTTAGAATTTTGAAGGATTTATTCTCTCAAAAACTCATAAGCGTAGCTCAAATATTAAACATAAATTTGTAAACTTTTATTTCTAAAAAAATACTAACTATAACATTACAATATTAATAAAAGCATATGTCATCTACAAAAATCTTTTTTTAAATATCAATTTAACATAACAACTATCTTTTCCAAAGGATCTTTGTTTTAAATTGCTGATAACTAAATATTTGGTGACATAATATATTGAAGAATTTTAATCTGAATATGTAGAATGTCCACCTGATCAGAAATGCTATTAATAGTTAAGTGATTCATAACTTAATGAAGGCTTAAACTATACTTAAGGATTAACATATTCAACATAAGCAACAACTTTACTGACTTAAATTTCATGGACAAAAATGAAGACATCTAGTAGGACAGATATTATCAACCATCCTAAAAGCTAATCCCATAGTTATTTAATGAAATATGGAGTTGGCAAACACCCCTCCTTGTCCATTCTCCAAGGGCACATTAAAAAAACTAGGCTTATAGATGTTACTATTTTTCTAGATATTAATAACAATGTAAAATTACTTAAGCACATTTTAGTTATTACATGAAGATGCAAATAATTTAAAATAGGGCAAGTCTTTTTAGTTGAAATACTATATTGGCAGTATTTACAGTAATTTTCAACTAATTCTGCTAAAAAAATCTAAATGAATAAAACTTGCACAAAAAATTGACATTTAAAATACCTAAATGTCTATCATTTCTTGGGTTAAAGGTTTTGTAATTTTCTCAGGTATTTAACTGTGAACAAGAGTATTCATACAGGTGAAATAATATCAAGTGTATGGTACATCATTGCTTTAATAATATATATAGGGAAAATAATTGTTTTAAGAATAACAAGTTGAAGTTGTAAGAAAACATAAAAAGTTTTGGTTTCTGTTGGAAGAAACAAAAAGCAGATATTAGCTGATTTTTTATTTCTAAATATTTAATAATTTTAAACTCAGTTTGAAAAGTTGTTACTAAGTTATATATAACTATTGGTTATAAAATAGTTTAAATATATTTCATAAAAGAATACTCCTTTTCAGCTTATTACTGGAAATGTTATCAGAGACTGATCTCAAATTCTTACAAAAGAAACATTACCATGCTAATCATTTTCACATATAGCTATTCTAATAAATTGATTTTATGCAATTAAAATGAAAGCTATTAAGCATGTGTTACTATTATTGTTGGTATTTCAATTGGGGAAACTGAATTTTCTTAATACCTCTGCAAAGGAGGTTGGTAACAGGTTTTTATTACTCTTCATTTTACTGGCTAAGAAACTGGTAGATGAGAATAAAATAAATTATTGAAATAACTAGCAATAAGAGGTTTATGTTCCCAATCTTGTTTTGTGGCTTTAACCATACTGGTATTCTGTTTAAGGGACAGAATTGTAATAACCAGTGAAAATATTAGAAAAACAAATCTAAAAAATTACAAAAAGCACACTATATAAAATTTCATTGAGTTACAAAATTCATCATTAAAATGTACACCACAATATTGTAACTACAAAAGCATACTCGAGATCAACAAAGTTTTAAACAACTACTAATACATCACTAACATTTTGAAAGGAAAAAATGTTCTTACCTTTAATCTTACACATTAAAGATGCCTGCTGAAATAGTCATCATTGAGATATTCAATTGCTTGGTAGAAGACAGTGAAATTTGCTAAGCTCAAAGTTCTGAGCTAATGACCTGCCATTAGATAATTATACTTTTCACCTGTGAATTCTGCAATATTTTAAAATAAATTTTGCATAGCACTCAAAACAAATACTATTTAAGATTCCAATGTTAAGGGAACAGAAGGACTGACTGGTGGTCATCATGAATTTCAACAACTACCACTAGAGATCAAGACTGCAAATAATTTTTCTTTGCTATGTAAACCTGCTTTCCCCTTAAAGTTCAAAATGAAATAAATGTCCCTACTTGCAATTTTTCTGCAGGTGACATGACCAATCCAAAGTTACAGTTAAATTACATCATTGTGTTCATTTGAGGTTTCATTCACTATAAACATACCATGAGGTAGAGGGAAGTGTTATAAGGGGGGGAAACGCCTGTATTCATTTGTCAGACCACATTCTTTTCTTCTAACACCATTTAAAAATCAAAAATTTTATTACTGATTTTTAAAATGTAATCTTTAAAAATACTTATAAGCAAACCAAAAAAGCTGAAAGGAGGTTTACAATAAGCCAGTAGTAAAGTCAACCAGTTCTCAAGACCTTTCACTTACATATTCATACTAACCATCACACAAAGAAAACATCCAGTGCACCATTCTGATAGTTCATTCTGAGAGGTGTTAACAGATGTGTGGAAAGGATGATCTAAACATTTATCAGGTTGCACATACATCTGGTACTGTGCTAAGAGTTCCAATCCAAAGTTGTCAAGGAAATGCACTGAAGCGAATGTTTACAGAACTGTGACGTGTTCAAAAGGAGGCATCTATATTGTGGCTATACAAAGGACTGAGGCATTATGAAGGGGGAAAATGCAAGAAAGCAGTGAAGATACTACAGTGAACGTGGTTTTGCAACAGGAGCTGAGGCTAGCAAAGCAGGAAAAGACAAGTCAAGGCAGAGCAAAAACCAAGAAATAGAAGACAAGATGACGATGATACAATACAGAGTGACCTCATACGACTAGAAGGTAGGGAACAAGAGCAGTCAATGACACAACTGAAGAGATAGCAAGGACTACTTTAGCAAATGTCTTCAGTGTCACACTAAAGTATGCTAAGAACTTTATTCTAAGGTTAATAAGAAAGTATGATCAGCTTTGTGCATCAGAAAAAGAAAAGGGCAGTATCAGAAGAGGATAAGCTCCAGTCAGGGAGCCCAGATAATTGACATTTAATGACTGACAAAAGAACAACAAAGTGGCTAAGCTGTTTGTTTTTTTAAATCAAAACACAGACTGTAGTTTTTGACTCAAAAAAAAAAAAATGGTTAGGCACATGAAGTTGTCAATGAAAAAGCCACAGAAATTGGGAAGTCACACAGCATCTCAACTGGGCTTCCCTGGGTGGTTGTAGATAAACAATCTGCCTGCAATGCGGGAGACCTGGATTTGATCCCTGAGTTGGGAAGATCCCCTGGAGAAGGGAATGGCAACCCACTCCAGTACTTTTGCCTGGAGAATTCCCATGGACAGAGGAGCCTGGCGGGCTGCATTCCATGGGATCTCAAAGAGTCAGGCACGACTGAATGACTAAGCACAGCACGGCACAGCACAACTACAAATAGTTTAGTCACTGGCACTCCTAATGCTTGCTTTACTCAGGTATGATCAGGCAAGAAAACTGGAGTGGGTTGTCATTCCCTTCTCTAGGGGATCTTCCTGACCCAGGGATTGAACCTGGGTCTCTGGCATTGCAGGCAGATTTTTTACCGTCTGAGCTACCAAAGAATCCAGTCTTACTAAAGAGACTAATTTATGCCTAACTTGTTTGCTGAAATGTCCTACTGTCCATGTATCACAGAAATACTACTCTAAGATTGGGAAGCCAGATTTAGATTCTGATCCCAATGTTACAACTGTACCAGTTGTTGCCTACCCTTCTGGGGAAACAAAGGGCCTTCACTTTGAAGCTCAAGCCCATCCGTCTACTCAAGAATAAAAAAGGCAGGAAAGCACATCTGAAACCACAAGCAGAATCAGGGAAGCAACAGGCTATAGTACTTTTTAGTTTAGCCTCTCAAGACCAAGGACCATAATTGAAATTGAGGCTCTTAACAGGTATATGACTTTGGGCAAATGACTTAACCTGTATCTCAGCTGTCTCATCCATAAAATTGGGATAAGAACAGTGTATATCTCACTAGTTTGTGAGACTTAAACAAATAAATGTAAAAGACATAGTGTATGTACTCAATGTTAGCTATTATTACATCCATGGGTTGAGGTCAGGAATCAATCTTACTGTCTAGAATCTGAGTGTGCAGCACAGGCTCTTCAAGCTTTTACCTAAATATCTTCTATGTTTTGAGATTCTTCTGCCATACTCCCCCCATTCTCAAACAAAATATATCAGGTATTCATTTTCATTGCTCATTCATCAATTTACTCTAGTATGAAATGACCTACCCTTTTCTGAAGACATGGGTATGATTTCGTCACCAGGGAAGATAAGAGTAAAAAATCATTTTAGGTGGACAGAGGAAAGAATCAGGTAAAGACAAAGAATTAAGAGAAACAAAATACTTATATGTAATAACATGAAGGAAAAGATAAGACCATCAGTGGAGGCAGATTCTAATACCTATTTTGGCTATAATTTTACTTCCCTTTTAAAAAATTTTATGGCAATAGTGAATTAGGCCCTGAATACTTGTAATGCATATACAAAATATCCTCAGAATTAGGAAACTGAAAAAATGGTAGTAAACACAGAAA